ACTAGGGAATGGGGAGGGGAAAGGAAAGAGAAAAGAAAAAAAGAGAAAGGAAAGAAAAATGGAAACAAAGCTTTTACAAATAAAGAAGAGGAATTGAAGGCAGGGGAAGGGAACGGAGAAACACAGAAGAAAGAAAAAATAAGAAATAAAGGAAATATATAGCTCCAGAAATGATGGGGAATGATGGCCCTGAAAGTCAATTATCTCTTTTCTATTTGAGCACTTAGATCTCCTCAGAGCTTTGAATATCACTCAAAAAATTTGGCTTAAATGGAAAGCTTCAAGTACATTTTATTAGTCCACAGCTCAATATGACTTTGAAAGCTTGCTTGGATGGAGTGTTGATAACTGAAGTGAAAAGTTTCCTCTGAGACTGGCCCAGAGGAAAGACAGGGGATGTAATCTGTCATCAGCCTAGTGGGGATTAATAGTCACCATGGTTTGCTATGGACTTAGATTAACAGTGTTCCATAGCTCATAACAAGTCTTTCAGGGTTAAGTTGGAAGAGCAATGGCCTTTGTCCCTTAGGAGCCCAGCATTTGTGATGTTTTTACAAATAGCTATAAATATTTGAGGAAAGAAACACAGGTTTAATTCACATTCTGCCAGGGACTATCTTGGGCTAAGAGATCTCACTTTGCAGATGTCCCTATACAGAAAAAAAGGAGATACATCATTTTACTGTGAAAAGTGCTCAGAAAGATAGCAAGAAACGTACTGCCAATATTTTGGTCTCTTTCATAGAGCCTAACTCAGGTGCTCTGGAAAGCGTGGATTGTAGAGTATCTCTCTGCTTGGCTTCTACAACAGAGCCCAAGAGTGGATGGATAGAAAGTATAGTTTACGTGCTGCAGATATATGGCATGTAATCCATCTTTGAAGTGAATCAGAGTTGAAAAAGAGCAAACTATCAATACTTAACTGGATGCCATTTGCCATAACTTTTTTTTTTTATAAGAAAAATGGTAAGTTTTCAAACCTAATGGAGCTGTTTCCTTTCCCTTGCTTCCCATTCAGAAGTAAGTCACCGTCCTCTAGATCTGGCTCCTAAGTAACCTAATGTTCCAGACACAGCTTTTGCTCATGGATGAAAAAGACCAATATTCCAAGTTTTCTCAGCCTGCACTTTCCTCTGTGTCACAGGTTCAGTTCTGATCAACAACGAAGGGGACACTAGTGTGGACCTAAGACCTGCAGACTTTTCATTTGCAGAGTCTAAGGCAGAGAATACACTGACCCTATGCAGCTTGTGTGGATGCTGACGATGCTGAGAATTCTGATACTGATGGCACCATGTTACTTGTTCAGAGTTGATTTTCAGCCCTGCTCTGTACATGTTTTCTGTGTATGAAGTCATAATATAAGGAGTGGAGGGGAGAGAGAGAGAAGCAAAATTCCTTAGTGAAATACTAGAAAAGAAGTGCTCTCTGGCTGTGATTCCTTGCTGTCACTCGATGGTAAGATTTTCCCTGTCTCAATCTCATGATTCTCTTTCTTTCTAATTCTTATTCACCATGTTTTCCTTTGAACTTGTCTCATTACCCTCCAAACTTTCTATCTCCTTCTCAATATTATGTATTAAATATAAAAATGAAGGGCTGATATCACTGACCCATCTTGAAGGTTGCATCTGTTTGATTGGGCATGAGCTGAACATTTCCGTAGTTCCTTTAGCTACCCGTTTAAAGTTCCTTGAACGTGTGTTGTCCTCCATTGAATGGGTGGAGTGTGATGCTCTCTGTGGCAGGAAAGACAGAGTGCTCAGTGAGATCCTGCTAGTGGTACAGGTTTGTATTCTGACCCTCTGTCTTCTGTGATTGCTCTCTGCTTATCACTATCTCTGCTAATCACTTCTGTGATTGCTCTGGCTTATCACTAGTCTGTTCCCAGACTATCTTAAATTGTATAAACAGGCATATTATAAATTTTCCATACAAGGTTTAGTGAAATCACATGAATGAAAGATGCTGAAGCAAATATGAGAAGCACATAGTAAGGCTTAAATGACTCCATAGAAATATGCATTTTCACTGTGAAATGCTGTTAGCAATAATTTTATTTGACTGAGGAAATCTGGGAAGGGTTGGCTCAAGAGATGGTATTTGAATTGGGTGCTCTGTCCACAGACAGAAATGGAGAATAAAGATTATCAAAGAGGACAGGTGATGAGAAACCATTAGCTTTAAAATATTCAGGGAATGAGACAATTTAGGTATGTGTGTGAGCCACAGAAATTTCTAGGTGTGGCGGGGTCACAGATAGGCAGAACAGTAAGAGCATAAGGGGAAAGAGGGATGACAGCAAGGGGCTAAGGGTTGGAGAGCCACAGCGCGTGTCCAAACCACTGTATTTAGAAGCCATAGTAATCATTTTGCTGTATTTATAGATCACCTTGTTTTAAAGCACCCACTTTGCCTTTTAAAGTGATAGTAAGGACGACAATAGACGGACTTCATATGAAAGGTCAGAAGAAGTTAGTATATCTGAATTTGGGTCCTTCTTCCTTGTTCAGAGACCAAAGTATCTCAGTAAAAGCCTGTATGGTCTCCTCAAAGGATGCTAAGATTAGCTGTTGATAACTTTGGCATTTGAAAAATAATAATCTGAATTTTTGGTCTGTATAAAATATATTCACACAATGAAAGTCACTCATGTATGAGACCTAATATGAGGTATTCTTTTTCTGGACTCAACTTCATGAGACATTTTAGAACATATGAACTACAAACTAATGTACAAAATGATTATGGCTTATGCTGTGCAAATATAAAGGTGATTTTGGTAACATTGATGAGAAGTGTTCAGTTTTACTGTCTCTAATGGAGCATGGTTGAGAATGAGCACTTTTAATCCTTGTCTAATAAAGGAAGTGGCAATTGTGAAGCCAGTGATGAATCATATTTCGGATGACTATGAGCCCATTTCCTTTTTTTGTGACCACAGTGAGGCAATTTCTAAAATTTCCAATGAGTTTTTAAGTGCAAACAACAGAAAGACAGATGTTTTTGGTGGGTCCAGGAATCTTGAAGGAAGTAGGCTTTTCATTTTAGATGAGCTGATCAAAGTAACACAAAAATATTGTTACATTCCACTAAACAACTCTGAGTAGTATTTGCTCCATAGCAATTCATAAATACTAGCATAAGTTGCTCTGGAGCCTTATGCCTCAAATTCTGTATGTTGCCCATGAAAACCTCCAAACTTCACAACCCAGCTTTCATGACTTTCTGCCAGGAGAACAACTTACTTTTACAAGCTTATCTACTGCAGTGTGTGTTTGTGCTTCCCTAATTATAAATTCTGTGTTGATTCATTTGTCTGAAAAATATTTCCCTTCTATTTTCATTAAAACATGTCTTTCTATCCCAAATGCCCATCCTCTTCTGATTTTCATACCTCTGAATCCAATATTTGATAAAGATTTATCTTTATTTTCCTCTCATCGGGGAACCTCTATGTTCAGAATGGTATGTGCTTTATAGTTATTAAAATGTTTGGAGCTGTTATCACTCATTTGTGCAACCCTAAAAAACTTATATGAGCCACAGTTCTGGTGTAATGTCAGCCTCTGCAAAGAAACTGTGCTTCAAGGCGGGGGGCACTGCATTTTGTGTAAATGAGCAACTTGAAATAATAGTTTTATAGAATGCCAAGTAGGTCTTCAAAGACCAGTTATAATTGTACTGAATGTAATCAATCCAATTATAAATACTGCAAGCACTTGTATATGTTTTGTATATATTAAGCTAATTTTCATAGCAACCCCAAAAGGTAGACTCTTTTATTATTTATATTAGTTATGTGAATATCAAGGGAGTTGATAGGCATCAGACCACTAGCGGCAGTGAGATGGAGTTTGAGTCTGATCCCTTTCTGAACAATTAGTGCATGTTTGTGGTGCATCATGAATGCATTCACGGTGAGCATTTGGTCCATGTACACTGCACCTTATTTCATTTTACATCCCCTGCCCCTCTCTAACCCTCCATCCATCACCTATTCCGCTGTCCACCATTAGTCACTGAGCTAATACTTCTCTTTCTGATTTTGTTACATCTCTGAGAATCTACTTGGGAACAAGACTCTTTCCATACAGTTTCAGTTCCCCTCTGACCACTATATCAATGAGAAAATTGTTCTCATTGCCCCACAGATGTTTTCCGCTATTCCCATATTGATCACACAGTATCTTATATACCCATGGACCTAATCTACATTTATCTTTAGGCTCCTAGGAACAGGGTAATATCTTTCAGTCTTAATAATAATTTTGTGTAATTTTGACTCAGCATTGAAAGTGAAAGATAATTATGAAAGAGTAGGAAATAAATACAACTGTAATATTTTTCTAGCAAGCAAAGTGGGAAAGTGGAAAATTGAACTATGCAAGTCCTTCTGAGAAGATATTCAGCAGGGAAGATTGTTGAAAAATATTAGGGCCTAATTTTACTGGAATAGTGTATTGTTAGATTTCTAGAGCACAGAGATACACCGCATAACACATGAAACATATATTCATGTGTGTGCACATATGTGTGTATAAAAAGTTGTTATCCTTCTTCTGAAAATTCAGAGTAAGATAGGACAAGAAAATTCAGAATGATCGGACAGATACTTGCACACCGTTTTGACATAAGAAGGTTAAATTTCAAAGCAGTTAAATCACCTGCCCAAAGGAAAAAACTGGCTTCACAGCTCACAGTTTAGATAAAGATCAAAATATTTGAAGGATATTTATTGTATATTCCCAAAATGCACAAGCTTTGATCCAAACTACCAAGGTTCTGAGGATGCAGATAAATCTTGAAGAGGCCTGGCATCTGAAAATTTTAAGCACTATAGAGGAATTTGCCTCACTAGAATGTAGGTGGAAGTAGTAGAAAATGGCACAGAACCGTGGAATTTAGAGCTCAGCTTACTAGCCCTTCCAGTATGTCATTTCATTTCTTCTCTTTGCAGATTAAGTGCTGCTAGCTGCATCCTATGTACAGACACTGCTATGGTGATGAATAACAGTGTGACCGAATTCATTCTGTTTGGGCTGACACAAGATGCTGAAATGCAGAAGGTGATATTTGGGATCTTCCTGATCCTTTACCTCATGACACTGTTGGGGAACTTTCTCATCATCGTGACCATTAAAACAAGCCAGACCCTTGGGAGTCCCATGTACTTTTTCCTCTTTTACTTATCCTTTGCTGATGCTTGTTTCTCTACAACCACGGCCCCCAGACTGATTGTGGACGCCCTTTCTCAGAAGAAGACCATTTCCTACAGCGAGTGCATGACGCAGGTCTTTGCAGCCCACTTCTTCGGGTGCATGGAGATCTTTGTGCTCATCCTCATGGCCTTTGATCGCTATGCGGCCATCTGTAAGCCTCTGCAGTACACGACCATCATGAGCCAGCGTGTCTGTGGTGTGCTGGTGACTCTGGCCTGGGTGGGATCTTGCATCCATTCCTCAGCACAGATTTTCCTGGCTTTGAGACTGCCTTTCTGTGGCCCCAATGTGATTGATCACTATTTCTGTGATTTGCAGCCCTTGCTGAAACTTGCCTGCTCGGACACTTACGTGATAAACTTGTTAGTTGTGTCTAACAGTGGGGCCATCTGCATGGTGAGTTTCCTATTGCTGCTCGTCTCCTATGCCGTTATCCTGTACTCGCTGAGAAGCCACAGCTCAGAAGGAAGGCAAAGAGCCCTTTCCACATGCACCTCCCACTTCATTGTGGTTGTCATATTTTTTGGCCCCTGTATATTTATATACACACGACCTGCAACCATATTTCCAGTAGACAAGATGGTGGCTGTGTTTTACACGATTGGCACACCCTTGCTCAACCCTCTCATCTACACACTGAGAAACGCAGAAGTGAAAAGTGCAATGAAAAAGTTGTGGTGTAGTATGACCTCAGTGGACACATGATATAGACAGATAGATTCTAATGTATGCTTAGCTAATAGTTATGTGGTATTGTGTGGCTTAGAAAGATAAACTATTATTGACAGGAGGGAACAAACCAAGATTATTGACAGGAGAAAACAAGCAACATATCCTTGTTTTTCAATCACAACCTAATTCAATTCCATATATATTTTATTATATGTATGAATATATAAAATATCTGACTAATCTCAGAGTGATTGTGTACGTGTGTGTATGTGTTGACAACTATGTATACGCCAATCCCTTTCCAGATATCTTTTTTCTGCAGTACTTGGGATTGAATCCAAGGTCTTTGTACTGAGTCACATCTCCAATCTTTTTTATTTTTTATTTGAGATAGGATCTCACTAAGTCCCTCAGTTGCCCAGGCTGGACTTGAACTTGGGTTCCTCTTGCCTCGGCCTCCCTGAGTAGTAGGATTACAGGCAACCCTCTCCAACCCTGGCTCTTTTTCCGATTTGGTTCTGGTCTGTTTTAAATAGGAATGTAAGAGTAGTTACATTCTACTCTTAGAAACTGGACAGAACCAAAGCTGTCATGTTGCCAATCTAAGGACTAGAGAGGACAGTCCTGGGAACAGTTACTCTGTACATCTGTCTGCCTCACTAGGGACACCTACAGTGATAAGCCCTCAGACTCTAACAAACACTTGAAAGTCCAATGGAAATCAGGCGTGGAAATGCTCTTGAAATTCGGTGGCTGTTGAGGATGAGAGGGCTCTTCTAACTGGATGTGGCAGACAGTTCTGCCCAACCTGCTGTCCTTGGAGACCTTCAAGTTGCCCTTCACAAAGGGACTACGCATGAGGAGTTCAGCAGCAGGACTATGCAGCAAGAGAATGAAAAGTGATGTATAATGAAGAGAGAGAAGGCAAGAGAAAGTAGTGGCTTCCCCCAGGTGTAGAAAAGCGCTTTCTCGTCCTTATGTTCTGTTAGTCACTGCCGGCTATGTGAGTATCCGGAGGAGGAAGTGATGATTGATCTGCCTGCTTCCTTGACCTGGAAAGCGGAGCCTCAGCGGTCACAGGTATGAGGGCATCAGGGTTGGTGAAACAAGTGCTTCTTGTACTTCTGATTGTACCTGAAAACTGTCCCCAGGTCGAGTCCTCTGTCTCAGGTTGCCCTGGTCAGTGCTGCCTGGGCCCAAGAGCATCCTAAAAATCCCCTGGGGGCCACAGGGCAGAAAAACCAAGGTGTGGGGTCCTGGGGTCACAAGAGGGGAGGGAAGCATCGTAGAGAAGGGACAGAGAGTCCAGCTGGCCATGGGCTTGTGGGCAGGCACCTGGGCATGGAGCCTCCTCAGCCTTTCTTCCCTGCTGCTTCCTCTCCTGACCAGTGCGGCTGAGATCAGAATCCTCCCGAGTCCGAGGGTCCCCAGGGACCCAGTCTATCCCAAGGATGAGGATGAGGCCTCCAGCAGAATTTCCATTTCTGTGCCCCAGGGTTCTGGCTCACTGGCACCTTCACAGGAGAGGTCTACAGCTCCCTGTTTGCTAAGAGGGCAGAGACCCAGAGGGGTACAAAAGATGTGGCAGTGGGGTGTCCCCTGGGCAGTAGCCACGCACCAGCCTGAGGCAGCTCAGGTGCTCCTGGAGCTTCTGGTTCTGGTTCTGCAGGAACCCTTGGCTGAGGGGGTGTGGTCTGTTTGTAAGCCCTGCAGCATCTGCTTTCTGTCCTCTTGGCTATATCTCAGCCTTGTGCTCTGGCTGCTCCCAGTTTCCAATTCTGGTGACTAGTTCTGGTTGCTCTGCACCTGGGCTTACAGATGTCCCACCAGGTGGTCCAGCTCCTTCTGCAGCTCCTTAACCTCTGCCAGCAGCCGCTGTTCCTCCTCAGGGGGCCCAGCCTGGGTTGCAGCCTTCAAGAGTCCCTGAGAAAGGAAATGGTACAGGCACTGGGGACCTCTGGCCTCTTAGAAATCTCCTCTCAGTGTTCAGCCCCAGTTCCCCCTCCTTGTCCCTAACCTTGGCTTCCTGATGATCAATTTCTCATTCCCAAATTACTGCCAGTGCTGAAGCCATGACCCAGTGCAGTTCTCAGTGTATGCACCTGACAAAGGCACAGGGAACGGTGGATGACTGGATTGTGCAGTGACCCCAGACTCATCTATCCTACTATCCTGCCCTCTGTGTGCTTCTGGGCCCCAATCTGGGCTACCTCAGATGCAAGACCCTAGGCTGAGTCCAAGAGAAAATCCTAGGGGTGGAGACAGGGTTGGGATGCAGGTGGCTGGTGAGGAAGTGGTGCCTGGGCAGTGGTCTCCCGCAGGCCAGCGCTGCTGGCCCAGTAGGAGATGCTCACTCGGTTTCATCCCTGTGCTTGGGGCCACTGGAGGCAGCGTGGTTCTGTTGAGAAAGCAAGGTATGAGGTGGTGATTCAACTTCCGGTAAGAGTCACCCCACCCGGAAGTGTAGTGAACCAAGCTCAGGCTGACCAACCTTCCTCCTCCCCAGAACTCACGGAAAAGCCTCAAGGCATTCTCCAGCCCCTCCCAGTCCCCAGGGAGAATGCCTATATCTAGGGTCCAAGCTGCCTGAAGAGCAGACTGTAGAGAATGCAGGCCTTCAGGAAGGAGTACAGCGCAAGGTTCAGGTGAAAAAGGAAAGGCACAAACCCAAAGTGAGACCAGGTGACATCCTTCTTCTCCCTGGAGCATAGCACAAAACTTTCAGGTTGTAGCCTGAGGAGCCGAAGCTGGCCTAAGAAGGTGCATCCAAGCCAGGGAGGCACTGCCCTTCCTGAGGGCCGCTCTGCACCACAACGACCCTGACCAACTCCAGTTTAAAAGCCAGACTCCCCAGTAAGGGATCCCTCAAGACGCTACTTTAATTTTACCCTTAACAGACTTTGAGGCAGTTATGATTCTTCGAGGAGCTCATTTACCATTGAAATGCTAACTTCCTCACACAGGTATGACAGGTGTAAATCATTATGACTTTCCTTATTTCTTTCTTCTTATTATTTTAAAGAGAAAAAAGATAAACAAACAATGAAACAGGTTAGTAAGACAGTTACAATAGTTGATGCATTGCATATTGTCTTCATATTAGTTAATCAGAGTACAAGACATAGGCATGATATCTTGTCTAAACAATCCTTGTTTCTTTTTTGCCTTTTTTATTATAAAGAGAATTTAAAAAATTAGAAATGATACAGAATTTCAAAAAACAAGATGGGAATTCACCAACAGTTATTATATTGCATATTGTTATCTTCAGAGTAGTTGTTCAGATTAGCAGATATAAGCATGTAAAACTTGTCAAAAAATTAAGCATTAACTGTTCTTTTCAATAAACCAATAGAAATTATATTAGTTATGTTATGTGTGTATATATATATATATATTTTTCCATTCTTTGTTTCTTTTCTCTTTTCCCTAACCCCAGTTGTTCTTCCCTGTTGAGCAGACCATACTCAAAAGTGAAATAAGTGACACCCACATGTGTAAACCTCACATTGTATCACTAGTATAAGAATTTGAAAGAGTAAATAAAGTCCAAAAGGTACAACAGATATTGTGAAATTGCTTCTTGATGACTACTCGTCACCTTCCAAATTTAGAACACTGCTGAATCCAGTTTTTGAAACTATTATGAAAATTGTTTGCTTGGTGATCACTTTCACCCCATGGCAGCAAATGCCAGCTCTACACTAATTCTGAATGCTACATCTCCTGAACTCCAGACTCATGAAATCAGTTGTCTGTGTAATATTTCCTTCAGAGTATCTAATCCTATCTCAAACTTACTAGCTCTAAAATTAAGCCTTGAGTCATTCCTCAAAAATATTCTTCCAGGATTTACCATTTCAGGTGAAGAGAACTCCTACATCAAAAACAATGGTCTGTGACTTTCTCTCATATCTCATATCCTAACAGCAAGTCTAATATTCTTCCTTCCTTCCTTGCTTCCTTCCTTCCTTGCTTCCTTCCTTCCTTGCTTCCTTCCTTCCTTGCTTCCTTCCTTCCTTCCTTCTTTCCTCCCTTCTTCCCTCCCTACCTCCTTTCCTCTCTCCCTTTCTTCCTTCCTTCCTTCCTTCCTTCCTTCCTTTCTTCCTTCCTTCCTTGCTTCCTTCCTTCCTTCCTTCCTTCCTTCCTTCCTTCCTTCCTTCCTTTCATGTGGTTTTGGAGATTAAGACTGAACTTCAGGCCTTTGCACTGAGTTAAATCCCCAGTCCTTTTAAAAGTTTTATTTTGTGACCGGGTATTGATAAATTGATAAATTTATCAGGTTGGCCTTGAAATTGGAATCCTCCTGCCTTAGCCTCCCAGAGAAAAAGGATTACAAGTATGTGTCACCACAAGAACAAGCACTTGGTGTTTTTTGTTTGTTGGTTGGTCTTTGCATTCTATTTTGAAAGAAAGCCAAAATTTGATTTCTCTCTCCCTATTATCCCCAACCTGCTCCAACCTACTGTCATCTCATGCTTGGGTTGCTGTGTTTGCCTCCTGTCACTGATATCCTTGCTTTTGTGTTTGATCTCTCTGTTTACCCAGATCCTCTTAGACCCTGAAGCTGAGACAGCATAGTTTATGGTGGGAAAGCCTGTGTGAGGAAAGAGGAAGGGGACCAGGAGGGGACGACCGTGCTGCCAGTTGGTGATGTGAGTCTGATCTCAACTGGAGAGGAGGTGGGCTGGGTGTAACAGTCCTAGGCTTCCGTGTGTTTATGAGAAGTTCAGCGAGGCTGCTAGGGAGTTCCGAGCCAAAGCCTCCCGTCAGAGGCATTCTGTGCTTCCTGGGAACAGGCCTACCGTTGTTTCCACACTGGGCTCACTGATTTGAGAAACAGCAAGAGAAAACATGGCCGCAATCTGCACATCCGGGGTCCATGGTGACTTACGCTTCTGCAGCCAGATATCCGGACTGCCACCCCCTGACTCGTGTCTACATCCCACTGTCTATTCTCTTGTCATAGTCAGCACCATCCTGCTCCCAAGTAGCCAGGCCCCTCACTCAACTGCTTGGACCCTCCCCATACT